GCTGCCCGTACTAAGGTGGACAGGACTAAGGACTGGTTGGGTAAGAAAAAGCGTACTTACATGTAACCCCATCCAAATGTGACCCGTTAATGTATGTTACCGGCCAGCTCACATTTGACCGAAACCCGTCCTTCCATCTTCAAGGAACATGCGTATTTTCTCACAACGCACAACCCTCAACAGCTCCTGACCTGGTTCCGATCGTTATGACTAAAACTGTTGCCGACCAAGATGGCGATTGGAATCCGACAACACGATCGAAGATTCTCTGTCCAAAACGAACTTGGGTGTCCTCCAAACTTCAAAAAACCTTGTTTGTTTATAAAATTGGCTCGTCAGAAAGTCATAACGTTCCGTTTTTGTTATTTCCCTCAACAAAGCCACACCCTGGTGAAGCTAAACCAGGCTCAGTTGTTTGGTGACTTCCATCTCCAAAGATGACACATACGCTAGATGTTGACAGCCTGTAGGCCAGCAAATCGCTGCATGGATGAGATAGCACGACGAGCCACCTGAGACTGTCAATTCAGCACACATAGATGAATATTTGCAGAACATCATGCCGGAAATGCCAACGGACAGACCTGATATTGAGGTCCTGACTGATCAGTTTCACTTGGGGGCACCAAAAAGCTTCAGAAATGTAGAAGGTTTTACGAAGACCACTGATCAATTAGACAAACGGGGTTGGGGGCATAGCACACAAAATAATCTCGCAGGGATGTTGAACTTCCAAGAATTAAAGCCTTAATCTTGGAGGGTGATATCATAAAAATAGAATGGAAATATGATACTATTGGACGGGAGGGCGGAATCGTTCTGGCTATCTTTTCAAAAGAAATTTCAAATGATATACTTTGCATGCCTAGGCACGCACTAGCAGCAGCAGATTGTTCGAGCGTGCCTCCTCGATTCTGGCTTGATTGCTGCAATCTGTTCCGCTCGTTGATCCACTCTGGTCTGCAGTCACTTCAATGATGAATCATCTCTGTTCTCCCGTGGCTGCAACGTGGCCAGCGGTGCCCCGTGCCAGATGCACAAGCTCCTACACACTCAGGAGGCCAGTCGCTGTAGCCAACCGTAACCGGGCACGAGGCGATGGTTGCACACCTTCGACGGAGTGGTCAGACAGCAACAGGTGGCGCAACACTCCGTCCAGTTGCAGCAAAGCGCCATCCAATGCCTGCTGCAGGCTGGCGAAGAACACGGTCGGGTCACATCCAGGTCCCATCATGGCCGTCTTGGTCCGCCCCATGGCCTGCTGACGGTCGGCTTGTGTGTCAAACTCCGCTGCAAGGTCGGATATAAGAGGAAACTTACTACTCGCATGCCTGATCAATACTATCTACCGTTACACATGTAGTAATCCACGATATACAATCCCACGTATTGCATACCTGCAGTCATCTTCCTAAGTATATTACGCCATCGAAATCCTCTCTTTTCATTTATACGAGTACATTTGTGCAACCAACGCTATTCGTCAAGCTTAACCAGAATGTAAGCAAAGGGTTTCGCACAGCAGAGTGCACAGCGAATGGCAAACAATGATTCAATTATTGTGATCCAGAAGCATTGATGCCGATAATGTTGAACGTATTTGCCAAATCGGTGCAGAAATTCATCTACTACCAGGCACACCCTAGATATATCTTTTGCTGCATATCAAGCGCCGGCCAAATAAAAGCGAGCCTGAGTAGAGAAGTCTGGAGGAAAAACCCCGGGCATTGGTCGGACGTACAGCCAGATATTAGCAAACATTTTAGTTTGACACCCATTAAGTTGTCAAAAACACCACGATAATCGATTCTACTAAATGTGAATGTCTTCGTGATGTCGGTAAAATAACTGCTATAATCCATGTGAGCATGTTACAGCCATTCAGGATAAAGGGAGGAAGAGCGGAAGCGGAAACTGTAAGAAAATATCGAGTATGCCATGGAAAATCCTCATTTTGGTGAAAATATAATTATATTGGAGGAGAGGGCGGTGTTGCTTGCGAAGTAAGTTCAAATTCAAATTTGGAATACCAGCCTAATATTCGTTAGGCTGAGCGATCCACCCTAAATCCATTTGATCGTCGGACTGTACACTCATTCATTATTGAAGCCTATGAGATCGTGTTCGGCCGACGATGATTTCCAAACATAACGGGCATCTAGCGTGTAACTGTTGGGATGTTGTCCTCCGAATTAGTTTGGAAGCAGTCTTCGGTACATCCCCATGCAGTAAATGTTTAACGAAATTAATTTACATTATCACCATCCAACAAAAACTATCTTAAGTCCTTAACTGCATCAGCGGACAGAATCCGACATTTAGTTCCACAATGCCATAATAGCAGAGCATACTTTCTAGCAGCTTTAGCCGTTTTTACCTCACCTAATCTGTCCGCTATTGAGGACATATCCGGTATCAGATACTATGCTGTAGAAGCGTCAAGTGGATATTGTGTGCTGTCCTATATAGTAGTGCAAACCGTGAGTGATGGTTATCGAAAATCTAGTGAAACCAGGGGAATTAAAAATAAAATGGTACACTTCCACAGCGCACCGGTCTTGACCTTACCAAATACCATAAAGTGTCCTCGTTATAGTACGTTGGATTTTCATGAGTCATATATGGATAACGGAGCACAAGCAATCTCCAGGAGAAATTTCAAATGGTCACGCGACTTCTGCCCTTTGATGCTTCGAAAGTCCTAGCCACTCCGTAATACACTGATTATTAGAACTCGCATCGGTTTCTGTGACCGGTCGAAAGGTATGTTGTAGCCCATTTCTAACTCGTTACGTGATCTTGCTTATGACCCGGAAAGTTGGATTCTCTTATGGACATCGACCGCATACTCTGAAGAAACTGGCTCATCTAGCACTGCGATGGAAACAAGATGCAATGAAAGTTCGTCGCGGCGAAATGCAGCAAACTGGGAACATTGCGGTCAATTTGTTTTCCAGATTACGTGATACCACAGACCAGTGCCGCAGACCAGATTTTGGTGGCATCACTACATGTTCAACCAGACAGACGTTACTTGGAAACACTTCTAAACAATTGCTCTTTCTGTCTAGACCGTAGAGAGTTTCTCTCCGCTTTTCATCCCGCATATAGTGGAATATTGATAAGTGAATCGGTATATGCAGGATCATTCGCTCCGCAATAATTAGGAATAACGCACAGAGCATCTTCTCGACAGCTGAATGGATTGCGATAAAGCTCAGGATTTTCCCAGTCTTTCACATATCTCGTTAGGGATTTAGAATTATCACACGGTCCAAATCAAGTTAGGCTGATCATCGGTAAAATAAACAGTTCTTGGTTTCGCTTCTTCCTCCGATTCGTGTTAATCGCGGAAAACCCGATGCAAGGACGACTCCATGGAGGTAAAATCAGTGGCCAATTGTTGGCGCCAAACGCTGTGAAGAACATGAATTCAGTTCAGAAGGCATTGAAAAAAGATTTCACACTGTCACACTTACAGGTTACAGATACTTTGTAGTTTTAAATGTTCTCAACTCAAATGGCGCAATTGCGTTTGGGGATACCTTGGCATTAAACATTTCACCAGAATGCTGTAAAGTCTCAGTTAGCGGATCACTATGGGCGAAGAAAGGTTCCGACCTAATATCACTGTCTGCGTCCACGATATAGTGCTTTGGATTCTAATGAATTTCATGTGCAAACTCGCGCACAGTTAACCTCCCACTTTAGTTTAGAAAGGGTACTGCATCTCAATATGTTCCATTCGAAAACGATGCCGTTTATTCTGTATGGAATCCATTGACCTAGATCAAACAACAAGGTGCCCTCATGAACACGACTTCAGAGCCGTATGCGTCATTCAGCGCAAGATAAAAGTGCAGATACAAAAAAATCAAAAGAGCCTTGCTAAACAGAACAGAAGCGAAATGCACACATACACAAATTCCACAACCACCTTACATTCCTTTCAGTCTTTCAAAGTCAAATCGGGCACAATAATTTCAGATATTCCTAAATTTAACACCATTGTTTCGGTGTGCGCAACTAAGTATGCTCTGCTGCTAAACGCGTAGTTTTGGACTAAATAAGAAATGCGGTCAATTTGACTTTCACTGTCATCCTGGCATTTCTCTTTACACACGTCCATTGTGCGGCTAATACTGATGCGGACGGTATGGCACTTCTCAGTTATGTGCTTTTCGGTGACCTTCTCTGCATGCACATCTATGAACGGCTTGAAATCACATCACATCGGCCCTATTTTGGACCGCGCCAAGAATGGCTACATTGCAAGGAAGACCGGATGCTGATAAACACGATATTTTCATGGGGATTTTTCAGGATATATCTGACATCGTCGTTTCCCAGAACGATACGATTGCTTGCATTCTGCTTGCATTCGGCTCAAGTCAGCAATACTAGTGCACAGCAACGCGAGATCCGATGCACGGGAAGAGACATGGTAACGTTGGCAATCTCACTGATCGATCAGCCCAGAAAAGGAAATTTTGCCAAGAAAACATGAAGTTCAATTACATTGATTGAGAGGGATGAGGTGACAACACTGTTACAGACGTCCAAAGTTTGGCTCCGCTTTTCCACATTGCACGGAAGCGTCGTGCGTGCATTTACGACTGTTCGTCCTGGGTGCAGCAGTTAGGTCAAACTCGATGATGGGCGCCGAACAATTGGGTCCACACACAATATCCTGAGTTTTTTCCGGGAGCATTTCGCGACAGACCTCAAAATGACGCCAAATCATATTGAACGCAGACTCCACCGGATTCCACGTGATTCCCTCGCGTATGTTGATCAGGTGGAATTGAGATGACAACAAAGAAACGCACATCAAAATGTGTCTCTGATTCTCTTTTTTCCACGGAAGTTTCGCGCGGCCACTCGATTTTATGTGTGCTTCTATCACTGTTCACCGCCGGCGAGGTCAAGCTGATTTAGCTGTCCAATCTCCGAGCGCGTTTCGGTGAACTTGCCCGAGCACGAGCGAATATATCAGCCTCGGTATCAAGTAGTTCCTAATGATCTCCATTTTTTGATGCGGCTTCGACGGGGCACGCATCACTTCATCGAACAATTAGAGCAGGTGCTGTCGGCGGTTAAAAACTCCTTTCTCCTTGGAAGTAAAGGGAATGCCCGAATATGATACGATGCCTCCCGGACCCAGAGGGCTGTTGAGTTCCTCCCTTGGAAGTAAAAGGAATGCCCAAATATGATACGATGTCTCCCGGACCCAGAGGGCTGTTGAGTTCCTCAGCGATGCAAAATGGTCCGACTAAGACTGTTGTTGGCCGATGTTTTTCATCCCCACAAATCAACATCACTTTTGTCTTCCGGGCGCTTATTGTTATGCCATATCTCTCCAATTCGACCGCAGCAGCTTCAAGCTTTTCTTTAAGGTGATCCTGATTTTCTGCACACACGACATAATCGTCAGCGAAGGCAAAACCATTTGCTAGGGTGTCGTGAAACTGATATCCTCGTTGCCGCATCGAAAATCCAAGAACCTCATCCATTGCCATGATGAACAATAATAGGGAGTGTGGATCCCCTTGCCTCACAACTCTGTGGTAGTGAACCTCGGAACTGGGGAAAACTGCTACGGCATTCTCATGGGACTGTGCGGTATATCGTACTAGAGGTGACGGTGCTCCAAACGCCTCGGCAGATCTGACGATTGTGTGACGCGAAACCGAATCAAACGCTTTCAAGTTATCAATAAATACCAGTTTGTGGTTAGGAGCAGTCGCTGAAGAGTGACAAAGCAGGATATGCATACGCGATGTGGTTTCTATACAACCATCTCGGTGCAGAAGTGCCAAATGAAGTGAGAGCAATTGCGATCTACGACTCCAGCGATCAGCAAGCACCTTATGAAGGCGACGAACAAGAATAGATGATCCGGAGATCGGTCTCAGATGATCCGGTGAAGCCGGATTTGGTACCTGCGAAACTAGGCAATACGGACACGACACAGATGTGCGGGACCACCTATAGATAATAACAGTAAGTTGAAATACCCAGCGAGCACGTCAGTATTGAACCGGAGAAGCATCCTGGACGTAAGTTTGTATAGATCTGGGGACGAATCGCCCATTAAGCGGATCGTACAGCCGAATTGCTCTCCTGTAATTGGCTCGATCAAGCTCCGGTGAAATGATACTACTATGTGACGTTGCCGGTTATCCACGTGTTTTTGGGCTGAGATCACCTGTTCCCAATACTGATCGGCGTCCACAGTTAGGCCGCATTTACCTTTGTATAGATGCCTTCATGACCCATCGAGCACAACAGACGCTGAATATTTCCGTCTTCGGTGGTATTGGGTTTGGATGGCGGCCTCGATGGTTCGGCGTTGGTTGACCGGGATTCGATGGGCTAACTGACGGTGGCATGGGAATGCAGTTTTTCAGGAGTGTCAAAACGTCCTGGAGTCGTGGAAGTCCAGAAGCCACAGGACATGCTCCGATGTTAGGATGCCAGACTACAACTCTCGGGCAAATGCCAGAAGGTCAGCACTACTAAGCGAGCTGTCAGCATAAGATTTCAAGAGTGACACGACGTAATCCACGGTTCGTTTAAACTAGACGCTGTAGTCATCGGCTTCTGACGATTATACCCCCATTTGACCGATAGCTTGGTCAGGTCGGCCAGATGGTGGTTCGTACTGTTGTGCTTGCCAGTTAAACACCCGTAATCTGGTTTTGATGCTGATAGTCAATCGACCAGAAAAATACCTCTCCAATCTCGTGATCAGCTTTGCTTGCGTGCCACAAGATGAATGCGAATTGTTATCCAGCCGCAAGAACGATTGTGACTCTTGTTGGGGCCAGCGCGTACCGGAATACTTCACTCGGTCAAGCTTATCCTGCACTGTGTGGGTGGGGTTCGCGTGCCAGCAATTTTAACTTAGGTCAATCTTCGTCGGAAAAGGCAGAAACTATCACCGCCGACCAATTGGGGGACCATATTCGTACAAATACTTTCGTCGTCGTAAAATCGTTGGTGGGTAACCAAACCGGCTTTCGATTTTTGCAGCATCTGCAACGTTTCTCAAACGTGAACCCAACGAGACTCTTGTGTACTAGTTGGAAGTGGTGCGGAAGCGCCGGATGGTTCGTAGCATACGTTGTCCAAAGTAACGAGTACAATGAAACCAAACAGGGTGGTTAGCCCAATCTGGAGTTGCTCAACGCTTAGCTCACCCAGACTGACGTCCAGACTACCCGGTCGGCAACGCGAGCAGGTAGTTCAGCTCACCGAGATTTTAGAAGGGGTGATGGTTACCACAACGAGCCATTCAAAAACCCTTTCGTTTATTCTGTGGGAATTTCGTCGGCCTAGCTCGCAGGATTTGTAAACTTCTGTTTTTTATGCTCCGTATGCTCCTGCATCTATGTGTCAATATCAGACAAACAATTGTTTTACCGAAATACAAAGGCAACCGCCAGCTTCTTAGGTCCAATGTGATTTAGAGGTTTATGCTCAGTGACACTTTTGTGACTGCAGGTTGCCTAAAATTTGCTCCTACTAACGCCAAACACGAACGAAAATTTTAGCTACAAAAACCGGACTAATTTATTTACGACTGTGGATTAATATTGCGATCCTCGGGGATTTGGAGAAGAAGGAGGGTAGAACAATTCCTCCGGGTATGACAGTTCAACTGATTACTGAACTACGGAATCTAAACTTGTGAAATGTAAGTCAAGATTTAATTGGATATTTCTCCCTGTGAACTTTAATCTACCTTACATGGGAAATGTGTTCAGTTATTTAGAGTTTCCATGGGGCCATCAACAAACGCAAGCCCAAAACACCGATGTGATCCGATAAACTCAGTGCACAAAAAAACAAAAGGACAAAAGCTAGGGGGGTGACGCACAAGCCATTAAGCACAAGACAAAGTTGCAGATACGGGAGCAAAAACATTGGGCCTCGTCAGCCACAACAGAGGCAAAATGCACACACAAACAATCCCTCAGGCGTCCAACATTTATGCATTCCTTTCACGGTTAAATCGTGCACTTTTGTAACACACGACTCTAAATTGAAAGCTAGTGTGCCCGATTGCGCACCGAGTTCTGACCTACTAATTAACAGGTCGGTTTGGAGTTACTAAGAAGACAATACAAGAAATGCGGTCAATTTGACGTTAGCCGCTATCGCTCCAATAATGCGCCTAATACTGAGGCGGATAGAATGGCGCTTGTCAGGCCGGTCCATAATCATTGGCTTTTGCCGCAAGCACTGAAACACAGCTCTTCAAATCAAACAACCTACGAAGATTTTCTGCAGTAGATGTGAAATTCTGACCGCGCTGACGATGACTACGTACATAGGTAGTCCATTTTCATAAACAATATATTATCATAGGCATCGGTCTCAGTTATGCTGACATCATCGCCTCCCACAGTGACACACTTGCTTGCATTCTGAATCAGCAGAAATCAAAAATGCTGTCTTAACCGTGACCGATGCGTCAAAATTATTACGAGCACCTACTCCACGCCCAACTCACCCAAAACCAACTGGACTGTAACAAAAATGACGCAATCATTCGACCGCCCACGACGGGTTTCGCCCTACATGGAGCTCACTAGTTAGGCGCAGTCACGCGTTTACCTCAACCGTATGCTCTAATTCAAAACGAATTGTAACAAAATAGCGAAATACACTTAGTTTCAAACGAATTTTCAGTTGCGATAGACTGACCAGCTGATTCTCTCGTTTGCGGGTTTGACGCGCAACTGAATGTACTGCTCCAGGTCGTCACATGTACGAAATTCGAGATATGCGGTTGATTCATGTGTAGTTTCTGGAACCCATGTGCACCATTCTCTACACTGAATCCACCAGATTATAACGCAACCTAACGAGGAAACACAACGTGGTCTTTGGTAAAATCGATCATTGCATGTGAGCTGTTTGAGCACCTGAAATCAACTCATACATCCGACGAATTTTCTGCACCACCGCTCAATGCTGCGCGTCAATTTGCGTTAGGTGAAACCACGCAGCAGCCAGGTGACCGTTCTCGTTAACAGAATATAATACCGTATTTGTCCTCCATAGCAGCACTACTTGGTTGAGAACAGCTACACGTGCACATCAAATGTGCACTGCTATGTTCACACTGGGTGAGGAAATTCTTGATTGGCTTCACTTCCGAAATGCTGTCGTCAAGCGCCCTTACATCACACCCGCCGGTTGATAAAAGCTCGTGAAATTATTAGGTTTAATTAATGCCCAACTGCACTGGATTAAGTCGAATAGGTAATCAGTTCCACAATTGGTATATCGGTCACATTCGCCGGGAAAGTTGAACTGCGTGCAACTACTGAGTATCACTGATGCCTGACCACACTCAAACAGCCCCCATCAATACCAGCATTTTCACTACAACCTGACAGCATTAGTCATTTGACGTGATAGTGTGCGTGACCGATATTGGTTACCCTGTCTACCGGATGACAAAACATCTTGGACAATGCTCAAGTCTTACTTGGACATAAATCAGAAACAAGCAGGATAATGGTTCAGCACGAGAATTCAGATTACCCACTATATCATTCGGAATTTATATGGACACATCGGCCACCTGGCACGAAAACCAATAAAACGTGAACTTTCCAAAAGTTTGTCGAATTGTGCCAATAGCAAGAATACACTAAGAAATAGGATTCAAAGTCTAACAATGTTCTACAGCCTGTAATCAAGTGAAGTAAAATGAGTTTTTCTGAGATATCTGACTATGACGTGCCAATGATTATTGAGCGATGAGTCACTACAGCATTTGACTAACTTAGTCACACTACTAACCATATCTATTTG